AAGATTTCTGCAGCAGCAGAGCCCCAAGAACAGCTTGGGACATGGCTACCATGGTTGGGTTAACAGGAGTTTCTTCACTGGAAGGCTGGTGGAACATCAATGCACCTAAGTACAACAGTATGGGGGGTTGTTTTATTCATTTATTTTTCTTCTCCAGAAAACAATGGATTTTTTAAAAATTGAGCTGGCATGAAACTTTAAAATTAAATGCTTCTGACTTCCACATTATTACATGTCAAGTAGAAGTAAGGTTTGGTTTTTTTTGTTTTGTTTTGTTTTTGTTTTAGAAGTAGCAGCATCTTCACAGATTTCAGATCTAATCAGCTTTTTGCCATAAGAGCAGGCAGCAGTAGCAACCACAAAATAGGTATGTAATGCCAAAAAAAAAAAAAGTATTATTTGCTACAAAGATTAGTAGGTTCTTAGTAACATTACCCCTTGATTGCAGGCATTTAAAATACATTTTTTTGATGGTCAACAAGTATTCTTGTTACCAAAAAGAAAAGGTAATTTGAAATTCAGTCATGGGAAAACCGTGATGGCCTGATGTGTTAACTTGTTCTGCCAGCTGCACAGCGTCATGTAAAGAAGATGTAACATCTGAGAACCAGGACTGGTAATTATCTAGTTTCTAGATTATGGCTACTTCAGTTCTGTCACAAAACAGTTTGTTGAACACAAGATCAAGCTTACAATGATTTCAGAAATGTACAGCAGTCCTGATATTCATCCTTAGAAGCCCATTAAGCAATATATACATATTTAAGGTATCTGAGTATAGAAAATAAAGTTTGAGCCACTTCGCCAAGACGTTGCTAACCCATTAGCTTAAACAATTCAAGAACAGGTTGAAAAATGAAAAACTGACAGAACACAGTCAATAATGGCTTTCCAGGTGCTAGGAGTTTTGTTGTCTTTGGCATTGAAGTACTTCTTAGCCTAAGACAATACCTAACTGTATCTGCTGCTCAGCATTATAGAAGTGTTCAACTGAAACCACAGCTCCAGTATCCCTTTCTCACAGTTTGAGGTTGGTTTCCCAGCTGCTTGCAAACACACGCTGTCATGTAAGACACGGACCATGGGACATGGTTTCGAGGTTCTGCATCTTGCTGTGAGTGAACTTGCAATTCATCTCTCTATGATCCAGTGTGGCCTCATAACTTGAGAGCCATTCCTCTTAGTCAGTGGTGGAGAAGCATGCATTGCATTATTTGACACGTAGACTGCCTCCCTTGAGGCATGCAGCCAGTTTCGTTTCCTTTTTAGATTTCCTACAAATGCTCTAAGATACAAAAACTCCATTCTCAGGAAGTTTTCTCTGGTTAAGTCTCTGGAAGCCACTGTTATCCTGACCAGCTGATCCAACACCTTACTCTTCTTGCTGCTGGAAAACTCTCTGAGGTTGACAGGTTTTGATCGTGCATAAAGAATCCGAAACTCGTGGTCAAAGTGTGCAACTGCAGGGCCTGACAGGATCAAAATGTTACTGCTGTTCAGCTTCCCGTCTGTCCATGTAAAACTAGCAAAAGAAGAATGAGAAAATTTCAAGTTAATTCAAAATGATAATAAAGATTATCATTTATTTGAAGATTATTAACTGAAAATTCTCTTAACGGTGTGCCTTGTTTTAAGGCTAAATATTACAAGCTGCTTGTTAATAAGGAAAGCAGTTTTGAAATGTAACTATTCTTGTCCATTTAAAGAAAACTGAAGTTAAAAGAAAAAAAAGAAATTGCCACTTGCCTGTAGGAGCCTGTTGTCACTCTAATGCCATCAATTAACATGAACTTTTCACGGACTTTTCCAACAATTTTGGCACCTGACCTTGTGTAGTATGTGTTCCCAGTGATATTTCGGATTCTCATCGACTGTTAAAAAGAAAGATGTAGAAAGATCACGTAAATTTCAAAGTTAAATGATTGCATTTAAAGGAGTAACACATGCTAATAAAGATAACCGACAAACTACAAAGGTTGCTGTGCAGCAGTGCAGATTTCACCCTCCAGAAACAATTTTCTGTTGTTTTAGCAGGCAAAGAGAAAACACGCTAAGGGACAACCCCATACACTGGCTGTGCAGAATGTGATCATAAAAAACATTGCCTAATATCAGAGGGATGTGAACTCCACATCTTCTTGAGAACCAACTCCATCAGCCTTTGAAAGCTCAGCACACCTGAGCAATTCCAGTCATCCTTTTAGAAACCAGACATTCCTCCTTCATTTTCTTGGATACTCCACTAATATTTGTACTCAGAGAGCAACTGTGACAGCCTCTTGTAAAGATTTCAGCTTTTCTATTAAGTACCTTCTTATGCAAGAATGGTTATATCTTACAAGAAAGAGCTAGAGCTACATAAACCCCATTTTAAGTTATGGCAGCAGGCAAAACAATTTCTTCTAACAGCTCAAAGATTACAGTTATTACAGGACCAACTCTCTATCCCTAGAAATATCACAAGGCTTACCTTTTCCTGTTCAAGGTCAACTCCTAGATCTCTGCACATTTTCAGAAAGTGGGAAAATGAAGACTGATCCAGAAGGATATATGCTTTAACTTGCCGCTGGCTACAAGCTTCCAAGAGGTCTCTGAAAATATCGGTATCTGTGAAGGAATCCATAACCAAGGCAATCATCTGCAACAAGTTTCAGAATAAATCATTAGGCTGTTTCCACAGCATTCCAAGAGAGATGGTGCGTGAGGAATTTGCCTTTGAATTTAAATATTTTCCCCCCTATTTTCTTCTCTTTGGTGGTTATGCAACCTGGCAGTCTTCTACAGTACAATGCATTCTTCTGTTGTTCACAGAACCGCTGAAACATTTAGGAGACGTATAAGAAATAGCAGAGAAAGGAAGAAGTAACTGACTAAAATAAAGTTATGTGATGAGGAGGGTATTTTGGTAAAGATGATTACAGACTACAGTACACTGAGGTACAGGAGATACAACATACTTCACTACAATCACTTATTCATGTCTCTGTATAGTTAAGAAAACAGTACATACTGAACTCAAGGATGGAACCCATTGCTATTTGCCCCAGTTTTGGTGTTGCTTGACTTACATATAACAGATAATATCAATTAGGATTTCTATTAACCCATTATAAAATTTTCCTTTTTACAGTAGTTAGAGCTGTAGTTTTTGTAGCGACTTTGAAGCTTCTTTTGCCAGGATCTGTATTGGTTTGGTTCATCTGGTACACTGCAAACTAGACTGAAAGCCTGTTGTAGGAGAAACACCTCTTAACTATTTTTAAAAACTGGAGTTCATCACTAACTGCTAACAATGAGAGCTCCTACACCCGTTCAGTAACACACTGCTCATGGCTTTTCATTAAGGTTGTACTAAAGCCTTCCCCTTTTTTATTCCATAACTTCACCTTCAAGATCCAGTTACACAGATCTGAGCATTTCTGCCTCTTCCCCAACCTCTGGAGTGGTACACAAGACATCTCAAGGCATCCAGGAGACTGACACCTCTCAAAACTGAGCGAGCTCATGTAAAAAGAGTCCAAAAAAGAAAGACATTTTGCTGTTGGTCTTCTTTAGCTACACTGCTCCTCCAGCTACACACAGTGCTTGGTGTGACAGGCGCACTGAGCTCACCGGGGGCTGTCAGGGGGTGAGAAGATCTCACACAAATCAGACCAGCGGAAAACAAACGTGTTGCTTCAGGATTTTCTTCATCCTCCCAGGTGCCAAAAGAGGCATCTGGGTAAGACAAATTTGGTCTCTGATTCCTGGATGAGAGCTCTTCTCCTGAGGACAGTCCCCTTGTTGTTAAAAGCACTCTACAAAAACTTTAAAATATGAGCTTATTTCCAAAACACAACTGGGCCGAAATCTTTCAAACTTTTCGAATAGGAAGCCAAATAGGGAAAAAAAAAACCCACCTGCGTCCACCCGTGGCTGCTCATCGCACCTTTTTAAGATACACCCGAGCTTCCCCTGCAGCTTACGGTTCATTTTCCCGTGACGCGCCCTCACGGCTCCCTCACGGCTCCCTCACGGCTCTCCCGGTGCTCGCAGCCCTCCCACCGCCTGAGTGCCTTCGGGACACCCCCTGACGGGGCACTATCGGTGCTTTTTTCTCCTGCCGAGGCAGCGCGGGGGCAGCCCCCGGGGAGTCGCCGCGCACCCACCTGCCGCGCGGAGCGGATCTGGCGCCGCACCGCCTCCTTGCAGCCGCAGCCGCCGTCCCCGCAGCCCGGCTGGAAGTGCGCCTCCACCCGCGTCAGCCCGCGGAAGGCGCCGGCGGCGAAGCCCGGCCAGCCCAGCTCCAGCGCCGGCGGCTCCACGTCCGAGCGCTCGGGGAAGTAGGTGAGCGACGAGGCGGCCGGCGAGGCGCCGAGCGACGGCGGCTCCTCCTCGGCCGCGGCGGGCGGCACGGCGCCCCGCGCGATGGCCTGCACCTCGGGCTCCGACAGGAAGGGCGGCAGCTGCTCCCGCCGCAGGAAGGCCCGCAGCGCCTCGGGGCCGCCCGCCACCAGCTCCTCCAGCGCCAGCCGCTGCGCCTCGCTGTACAGCCCCGGCCCCGGCTCCGGCCAGCGCCCGGCGCCCTCCTCCAGCCACTGCGACGGGTTGGCCATGGCGCGGCTCGCTGCCCGCCCGGCCCGGCTCGGGATGCTTTATAGCGGCCCCGCTCCCCCCCCGCAGGCCCTTCCCCGCCTCACGTCCGGCCCGCCCTGGGGCGGGGAGCGGCCGCCGGCGCTGCCCCGGGCCCGGCCCCGCGCTCCCCTCAGGGGGCGCCGCGAAATGGCGGCGGGGATGGGGGGCTGAGGCAGCCCTCGGAGCGTCCCGGGGAAGGGGGAAGCAGCGCGGCCCCAGGGCTGAGCTCCGGCTGCCCCCCGTGAGGTGCCGTGTGAGGGCAGGCGGCTGCCCTCCCTTCTGCCTTGCCTTCATTCCGCAGCAGCCAAGCGGGCAGGGCGGCGGCCAGCGGGATGCGGAGGGACAGGTACACAGACGGCAAAACGCGGAAGGGATGCGGCGAGAACCCCCGTGGCAAAGTGAGTTTATTTATAAAAAAAAAAAAAAAAGGTATCGTTCCTGGGAGAGCTCCAAAACAACCGTACAGGGCACCGAAGCCGAGACCGAGAAGTACAGAGAACAAACGCGGTTTTCAGGTGGGTTTCGTATACATTCAAGCATTGCCGAACACGAGGCTTTTAAGAATACAGCTCTGACATTGGTCTGAATGCGTATTGCAGCTCCCTCTTTGCAACCCCCTTTCGTCTCTGTTCCAGCTCTAGGAGCTGTGCCCCTCATCCATTTAAGCAGGTGCAGACAGCTTTTCCCTTCCCTGCACCTCTCTGTACATCTGCCTTGCAACTTTAGGAAAGAACCGGCTGCTTTAACCTCCAATCTATAGAAGTAGCTAAGCCTCTTTGTCAATACAGGACTCAAATATAAAAGTTCTAGTCAGTAGAATAAAAGTGCCGCTGTCTACACTGCGGTTGCAGCTCTGCGGAGTTTGGGCTGTTCCCTATTCATTCATTGCCCCTTGTGGAAATAAATAACAGCTGAAACATGCCACCTACTGGACAGACATGCCTATAAATGAGAAGGAAATACCTCACCCAGACTCTGATTTGACTGAAGAATACCACATCAGGTTGGTCACTAAACTATTGGCACACAGGTCTAAAGAATAATATCACAGGTCAGATTTCAGAGAGAACTCGGAAAAACTCACATACTACTTAAAAAAAAAGTGATCCATCAAGCATGGACACATGCACAGTAATACTAACAAATATTTGCGTAGTGTCTGCAGTGACTTAACCCAAGATTCAGTTAGCGTTGAAAGCAGAGTATTTTTGAAAGCTACAAAGGCACTTAACTCTCTTTGAAGAACCTATTAGTGGATAAAATACAGACAGAGCAGGAAACAGAATACTTCAGAAAGCACAGCTTAGGATAAAAATAAAAACTCAAAATTCCTTGTAAAAGAATAAAAACAATCTATAATGTTTTTGTAGTGTGTTTGAGCAGGGGCTTTGTTATGCGTCCTCAGTGATTGTTTCACCACTAGGTTGACCCCAAAGATGCCATTTACAGGTCTCTTAACAGAAGCAAGATCATGGAATCATTAAGGCTGTAAAAGCCCTCCAAGGTCATCTGGTCCAACCATCACCCTACTGCCACTGTCCCCCACTAAACCACATCCCTAAGCACCACATCCTGCCTTTCCTTGAACACTGCCAGGGATGGTGACACCACCAGCTCCCTGGGCAACCCATCCCAATGCCTGACTGCTCTTTATGAGAAGAAAGGTCTCCTAAATTCTAACCTAAATCTCCCCTAAATGGTTCAGAAACCTCCAAGACCAAGCTAGAATACAGCTTGGTCTCAATTCTGGGAGAGACATCGAACAAAAGGCATCTTCTAAAGTTATGCCAAAAGGGGTGTACAACAGGGGCACATTGTAGTGTCTGCTATGAGACACTGAGCTCCAACTATTACCTCATCTCCTGCTCACAAGCAAGATTTGCACCCCCAAACACCTCATTAATACATTTACATTAAAATTCATACAGATCCAACAGGTGCTTCTAGTATTCAAAACTAAAAGCTAGTTAACTGAGGACAAAGTTCCCCTAAAATAGGTATGGCTGTCTTGGAGTGCTAGGTTGCTACTTCCTTGACTTTTTAAAGATGCTCCTCAGAGAATGTGCACATGTATACAAATGTGTATAGAGAGAGAGACAGACATAAGGTGATCTAACTGAATTGCTGGATGGCTCAGTCCTATTCAGTACCTTTCAGAATGCTTAAGCAATGGAAAGAGAATGCAGTAAGAGATACACAAGAACCTGCAACTGTTCCCATAGACCTTTCACAACTTTAATGGAAGGGTAATATTTCTTTTTTTTTTTTTTAATCTGTGAAGTCAGAAAAAAAATAGCTTTATGATTAATTTTTCCCCCTAATGCTGAGTATAAAGTTAAAGTCCCAATATTAGAAAGGGGAAAAGAGTATGTATTGATAAAGTCATTCTGAGCAAGGTCAGTTGGACTCAGATTTTTCCAAGTTTACAGAATCACAGAATTTCTAGGTTGGAAGAGACCTCAAGATCATCGAGTCCAACCTCTGACCTAACACTAACAGTCCCCACTAAACCATATCCCTAAGCTCTACTTTTAGATAACTTAAAGCCAGAAAATTAGCAATCCTGAAGAGTAAACATATTAATGCTTTCTAAGTCAAGTATACAGAAGTACTATACACCTTTACCACTAATGCATATAAGAGAAACATCTAAGTGGTTACGGTATAAATAAAAACCTGTTCTTTATTACTTAAATTGCATAGTATAAAACAAAGTGCTGGCAAGGGATTTACTCTTGTTGGTATGTGTGCAAGTACCGGAAGGAATTAGAAGAATCAGTAGACAAACAAGTGCATTTTGAAACCCAAACTTCTGTGCTCTGCATTCAGTCCAGCTCTCATTTATTCAGAGAAAAGAGGGAAACATCCCGGAGGCTGCGCAGGCTGGTACTGATGTCTCGCCTCTGATTTAGATTGCATTTTCCAGTGTAGTGGTTCATGTAGTTTTCAGGCACACGCCTCCTTCGGGACAGGATGTCCACCATGTGGCTGAACTTCGACCTGATGGTGGAGTAGTGGAATTGCCTCTCCTTATGCAGTTTCTGGAAATACTCTGCCCTGTGACTGCTGGAGTATTCGATGGAACAAATAGAAGAGAGCGAGCTGGTAGAGCTCGTAACAGAACACCGGGACGACGATGAAGACAGCGATCGCAGGCTAGAATTTGATACAGACTTTCCAGGTGGAAAGGATTCTTCTTTTGATGCCCTTCTGTAAAGCAGGGGTGTTTCTGCACACTCTTCCTCCTTTGTCTGTGTCACTGCAGTCTTCAGCAAAACTGAGGTCTGAGTCCCCGTCATTCTAGCAGCAACAGAAGTTTGAGTGCCAATTTCATCTGTTAGAACATTGGTCTGCGTGCCAGCATTACACACCGTCACTGCAGGCTCCTCTTCCCACTGGCCAGTTTGAGTTGATGCATTCTTTTGCTCCGCTGTAGCCTCCTGATCACTGAACCACTCCACTTCACTGATGCAAGAGTGTCCCAGGTTACAAGGTTTGCCTCCGGGAGTACCTTCAGCCAGATCTAGTCCTTTTAACATTTTTTTGGGAGTACTAGACATCCTGGCAAATTTTGCTCTCAAATTGCTTTTCACAGAGTATTCTTTAGAGGACTCTCTTCTGCTCACCAGATGATCAAACATCCCACTGTTCCTGGAGCTTGACAGGCGTTTAGGGCTGATAGGGTCTGACTGGGCATAAAGAATTCTGAACTGGAGGTCAAACTGTTCAACCACTTGACCTGACAACACCAGCAAGTTACAGCTGTTCAGCTTCCCATCGGTCCATGTGAAACTATTGAAAACAAACCAAGATTCACAGTTAAATTTCAGCTCACTTCAACACATGAAGTTACAGGTAACAAGACAAGACTCAGCTCAGGACTGTTGTGCATAAGGGAGGTATCAACTTGAGTGAGTGTTCGCTCTCCTTCAGGAGAACCCCTACATAGCCATGGCCATGTTCCTTCCTAGCTGTGTAAGCCAACGCAGTTTTCCCACTGTTTCTCCAGTTTTGTGTTAGTTCCACTTGAGTCAGATAGCCCACTTTATATTTACCAGTACCAAGCAAACAACAGAGTTAATACACCCTTCCTGCAAAGCCTCCCCCTTTTCACAGCATCATCAGGCACTGACAGACCCCAATACTTGCCTGTAGGAGCCCGTTGTCACTCTGATGCCATCAATTAACATGAACTTCTCGTGGACTTTCCCAATGACTTTGGCGCCTGACCTCACGTAGTATATGTTCCCAGTAAGAGTTCGAACTCTCATCATCTGTTTCAGGAGAGAAGGGAAAAAGTAACATCAGATTTCAATTAAAGCTTTGAGCAGTAATTCCGCATAAAAACAACTAGACACGTTATGGAAGATAGGAATGAAGTGAGCCTCCTTACATTATTCAGCAAGTGAGTCGTACTAATGCTAAATTTCTGTTAGTTTAGGAGAGGCTGTAGAGTCAGCCTGGAGAGAACTGCTAATTACTTCCAGCTAATTACTGACCGCAAAGCTAGGAGTGCCTCCCCATCCAGAGAAGCTCTCACTTGGGTCAGCACAAGCCTGTCCTAGCCAGGACATGACGCAGTCACGTCAGCTTCCATTCAGAGGAATTGGGTAAGCCACCTGGGTCACATCATGCAAACCCTGAATTAGAAAGATGTTCCCAAAGCCATGCCACCCTTGAGCTTCCTGTCTTTGTTTTCCTTGGAGTCATTTTTCCTTAGCAAGCTCAAGGAACCCATTCTTGGGTTAAAAAGAATAAAGCTACTTAGATCTTGCAAAATTAAGTGCTTGAAGATAGCCACTTCGTCAGGACGCTCCATCCAGCACACTAGGGAAGCTGCACAGCCTGGCAGTAGCTCCTACATACTGGTAGCGTAGGGTAGAAGTAAACGTGCCTTTTCTGTATGGTTTTCAATGAGTTTGTGAGCAATTTAGGAACATTGTTTAGTGGCTGATACTGGTAGTAGGGTAATGGTTGGACCAGGTGATCTTGGAGGTCTTCTCCAGCCCTCATGATTCTATGATACTAGCCAGTATTGGGCCTTGATCTTCAAGAGTTGAGAAACATTTCAAAACCAAAGCAAGACACCACCACGCTTTTACTTCAGTTACCAGACAGACGGGATGCTTCAGTCTTCCAGGGAAGATGATTTACAGAAGGGTGTCTGTGATGTCCAAAATCATAAGCAGTAACACAAGAAGTAGAAACAAACCACCTCCCCTCCACCATGTTTAGTACTTACACTTTCCTGCTCGGGACAGACTCCTAAATTCTTGCACATTTCCAAGAAGTAGGGTAGAAAGCCCTGGTCAAGAAGGATATAGACAGGGACCTTGCGCTTGTTGTAGGCATCCTGAAGGTCACTGAAAATATCAGTATCCGTGAAGGAATCCATCACAATGGCAATTACCTGTAAAGAGAAGTGGCAACACTTGTTTAAGAGCTTTACCTTACACAAGGCAAGATCATTGCCTCCCCCATCCGTTTTCTCCTGCTGTACTGTCAAAGCCAAATACATATTTCTTTGCCCTGCTGCTTTGGCCTTGGCAAGTTTTAAACAACTCCTACGTTCTCCCAACGTTTATATAAATTCATCGTGTCCTGGTGTGCAAAGCATGAGACTGAAGAGATTTTTCCAACATCTGCTGCAGCGTTTGTGCTCAGCCTGCTTTCCTACCTCACCTCCCATGAGCTGACCATTTCTTAAAACCTGGGAAGCTGACACGGCAGAGTCAGCAACCCCAACAGGCCATCCCCGCTCCTATGCTTCCCGAGTGTCAGTAGCTGCAGGGATTATGCTGAGTGAGGAACTGCCATATCCAAAGAGCAGTTCTTATAGAGTAAGAAACAGGGAGGTTTTAAACTAAACCTTACCAGCTTGTGCCTCCTGCAAAGCATTCTCAAGACTCTCTTCTGTGGCAAACCTGCTACAGACAGCTGCTTCTCCCAGGAGAATTAGCTCAAACAGCCTCTCAGTGTCACAGACAAACATCTCAGACACTCAATGCTGTCTCTTCAGGCCACACACCCCTATGTGAATTACCATGACAAACTAGTTCTGTGGCAACAAAATAAACTGAATACGTCCCATAAGAGTCTGGAAATGGCATATTCCAAGCGTCCACCCAAAACCCACACAAGAAAGCCATCCAGCTGCCCAGGAGCAGATGCAGACTTGTACTAACAGTTCTTCATAGCAGGCAAATCCCAAGATGAAGATTTCCTTCCAGTGGGACGAAGACAGAATGGTCTTACATTTGCAAACAGCCTCCCCATTCAGAACAACACCGTGTGCCATTTCTGTGCTAGAATCTCAGCCCTTCAAAACCGGGAACATGCAGCTGTATGGGTGCAGACACAAAGGATTTGGCTTCACTACTTCCCTTATTGTTCCACTAGACCAGCATCAAGGACACCAGTTGCAGAAGCGCTGCAGTGCCTGCTTGTATCAGATAGGGTGTGTGCCCTACTACCACATGCCCAAGGCATCCATGCACGCAACACAGCTGCTGTGTGTGGCATCCCCTGTGCTCAGAGGAAGTGTTTCCCACAAGAACAGACTGAGCTTTGCATTCACACCTGTGCCCTGCTCCTCAGGGGATTGGCTCTAAACAGATGATTTCTTAGTTATAAAAAACACAGACACATTGGTATTTCTACATAAAGTTAGTTCACACCTGTGCTTCTTACATATCTCCTCTGGTCTTCTGCACCCTATCACTGCACTAAGTGCCAAAGTAAGATAGAGAAAATTAAGATATTCTGGACGAGACCAGGTGAGTAAGAAGTTAGCCCCTGAAAACAGAACGAGGGGTACACAGTTCACAGTAAGCTCTTTGGAACACAGCTGCCTTCAAATGACTACTCAATTGGAAGAGCATTTGAGATCTAATCCCGGAATTATAAACTGAAAAAGAAATAAAGTTGTACTCAAAGTGAGCAAGAGCACAGTGATGTGTGTAGGAGGTAGAGAAAACATTTTTCTCCTGAGCCATTCAGGATAGCAGAGGCAAGACAGCAACAGTGCCCAAGGTAGTCTCTCAAGCCAGCTGTATTTTAGCAAGCTGAGAAGGAACTACACAGCATCTGCAGCTTTTCTGTTCCTCACATTAACCCTGGGAGCTCAGCTGTGACCACACAGCTGCTCACAGCAGCTCAAGTGACAAGGGTCAGAATTCTCCCTGTTCCACACCCACATAGCTGCCTCCCAGGCCAGGCAGGCACGCTGCAGTGACCAGCACAGCTCAGTGGCTGTTGGCTCCATACGAGGGAAGATGCTTTGGCCAGATGCTACAGGCAAGAACGTGACAAGCAAGAACAGCTTTTTGGAAAAACAGCCGTTTTCACAGGGTTTGCTTGAACCACCAGACTGCTCACAGCTACCTGATACAGGCCCTTTGCCAACAGATCTTTGTGTGCGACAGCTTCTGGCAAGAAGCCCACGCTCCTGTCATCCTCACACGCCCCAGGCTTCTGCTCTCGGGCAGGCTGGGACCCGGCTCCTCGCTAGCTCTGGGTGTGCCTGTGTGAGCACCTCACCCACAGCCAGGCGTTGCTTCACCTGGAGAGGAAGCTGAGCTTTAAATTCTGGCCAAGCCAATCGAGTGGCTGCAGGTGGGGAAGGAGGCTCCCTCCTGGGACTGCAGTTAGAGGCTGCCAGCTCAATTAGCGCTGCGAGTTACAGAGCACAGTTACAAGTTACTCCTCAGCACGGCTTTTCTAGGCCATGCCCTGCGCCAGATCAAAGCCCCTGTGAAACGGGAGCAGCTCCGCACAAAGCCTTGGGTCAAGCAGCGAGCACAACAGCAAAGAGAGAAGCTGCTGACAGCACCGCCTCGCCACAGCCGAGCACCCCCGGGGCGTCCGCCGCGCACCCACCTGCCGCGCGGAGCGGATCTGGCGCCGCACCGCCTCCTTGCAGCCGCAGCCGCCGTCCCCGCAGCCCGGCTGGAAGTGCGCCTCCACCCGCGTCAGCCCGCGGAAGGCGCCGGCGGCGAAGCCCGGCCAGCCCAGCTCCAGCGCCGGCGGCTCCACGTCCGAGCGCTCGGGGAAGTAGGTGAGCGACGAGGCGGCCGGCGAGGCGCCGAGCGACGGCGGCTCCTCCTCGGCCGCGGCGGGCGGCACGGCGCCCCGCGCGATGGCCTGCACCTCGGGCTCCGACAGGAAGGGCGGCAGCTGCTCCCGCCGCAGGAAGGCCCGCAGCGCCTCGGGGCCGCCCGCCACCAGCTCCTCCAGCGCCAGCCGCTGCGCCTCGCTGTACAGCCCCGGCCCCGGCTCCGGCCAGCGCCCGGCGCCCTCCTCCAGCCACTGCGACGGGTTGGCCATGGCGCGGCTCGCTGCCCGCCCGGCCCGGCTCGGGATGCTTTATAGCGCCTTTGAATCCAAACAGCCCCGCGCCGCCGCCGCCACTGGGGCAGCCTCGCTCCGCCTCTGCCGCCCGTTGGCTGCGGGACGCGGCGCGGCCCCGCCTGGAGGCCGGGCCCGGGCTCCCCTCAGGGCCGGGCTGAGGCGGCGCCGCTGCCCTCACAGGGAGCGGGCTCAGCCCACGAAGCCCCCGTCAGAGCCCCGGCCTCCAGCAAGGGCAGCCGCGGTCTGGGCCTTCCTCCCCGGCCCCATAAGGGACGGACAAAGTTAAAATTTGTCACACCCGCCCCTGCCCGCATCTACCCCTCCTGGCAGTAACAGCCACAGGAGCGGCAGAGTCACTCAGGGAGGGTCCCAAACCGTCAACCAAATAATTGAAAACCCGCGGGCTTTTCTGTATTATTAAAAGAAATTTAATATAATTTTTAAATTAAAAAATTCAATCTCTATTAAAGACACAGGTCAGGTACTAATACTGTCAGACATACCCTTTTGGCATGGGTTTTACATACAATTTATGATTTTATGCATTGCTTCAACATGTTAAGAAACCATCTCTTCATACTTACAGTAGCAATAAAGTCAGTTCCATACAATATCAAATATCCTTTTTTTTAAAAAAAAAAAAGTTTTAAATATATTAGACTCTGATTGCCAAAATGCCATTTTATACACAAAGCTGCTAATACAATATACACTTCTTACATTATTTTTTTTTCACATAAAATACATTTCATCAAGTTTTATTTGTACATCGTTTACTACTGATCGATGGAATTAGGAATTATTGCAGAAGGCGTGCCATCGAGTGTCACCTCCCGTACACGCGGCGGTCGCACCGGGCTGTACAGGGGCTGCCGGCGCTGCCGTCGTTCCCTCGTCCCCTCTCGGGACGCCAACAGCGCGATCCACAGGCTGAACGTGCCGAGGTGGCAATGCTAAGGCTGCATTTGCACCATTTTAAAACCCGTATGTCCCGGCCAGGTGGAGACAATTGTATTGGTGTAGATTTGGAACAGGTCTCTTGAGCACTGTCTCCTCTACCACAGCTTCTGCAGTTGAAATACAGCAAAATATTCCAGGCCCTATTTTTGCCATGGCAGATGTTGCCTGAAGAACCCAGTGGTACTCGAATCATGCGGGGCCACTGACAAGTCCATTACCAGCATGGCCAACACCAAAACAGCAGAATAAAGCTGAAGAACAACCAGGAACAATGAATTATGTTGTACAGCCACAGACAAAACTAAACTAAATTCCAAATATTAACTGTTCTGTGGTAAGAGGCTAGGGCTTGCTACTCAAAGTATCTTCTGGGCTCTGTGGAGAACTGCTATAACTGAATAGGTCTAATTTGTTAAATTAGAATGAAGATCCTGATCATTTCCATTCCCTGTGTTTAGAAATGGTGATCATGAGAGAAATGAAAGAATGAAAATTTCAGTATCCTACATGCTCTGAACTGCTTTCTTCTTGCAATAAAGAACGGCACAGCGTAGTCACTGCAAACGTTCCAGAGACCAGAAACCAAATTCATTTCAGCAAGTGTGATAAGGCACAGAAATATCCAGCCATAGGGAGGACACCTTCCAGCAGATAGACAACAGTAAATCTGTGGCTCACTACAGACCAGTGCTATTGCTTTCTCTGTTAAGATATTCCTATTTCGTGGTATTGCCAATTTTGTTTCAGCATAGATGATTTAGGTAAACAGAAGTCCAAGATTAAAGCAAAAGGACGCCGAATGGAAGTTCTGCCATTGGGAGATTATAAATGCTTTCACCTGCAACCCCATGAAATAAGACTCGCTCAGGGTACTAGAGAACCCACTGCCTCCACTGCACATTGGACTGATTTGTTATTGCTATTGCCCTGCCATGCTCTTCTCTTCCCTACCAGGAATTCCTCAACCATGTCATTCCCCAACCACGCCTACAAGATGGTGCAGAATCGCATCAGCTGGAGTCAGTTCTTACCAAAACCAGGAGGGTTTTAAGATTCTGGAGCACCACAGAAGTGAGGCTAACTGAGATAAAATCGCATCACTTGGTACATGAAGCACAGACCCGGGTCTGAAGCCAAACAGATCCCAGCAATGGTACTGGAGCCCTTAACTAATATGTCATTGCTGGGACTTTCCTGGTGGAGTTCAGCAAAGCAGATACACTATTTTGAGATACTTTTTTTGCATCTAAAGTCTTTCAACATGGGAAGTAAAGCTGCTCTCACTAACTAGTTAGTTTGCTATAAACACTACGACTAGCACTTTGGAAGATTTTGCAAGCAGAATTACTCCCACGTGCAGCTTTGCCTACAGCGGGCCTGTCAGCACACCAGTGTTCTCAGATCCTTGCGTAGCCTGCACCAACTACAACCTTCAGCTTACAGCCGATGAAAGTGGGACTCTGAGCTGACCTTCCATCTGCATGTAGAGCTTTACAGAACCTAGAGTCACTGAGCATGGTGTAAAACCCCCAAATCTTCCTCTAATAAGCCAAGTGCTTGATATCTTGCCCGTCACAATACGATTCACAGTTTCTACAGCTTTTTAGCAAAATGAAGATCCAGTGAATTATCCAAGGTGCCTTCTGCTATGTACTCAAGAGCTTTCCACTGGGATGGTCTTATTAAAATGCACAGGTATTTGAGAGCACCACCATGGTAACATTGCTAAATTTTACAATGAAAAGCCCTGTTCCTAGAGGTAGACTCCTGCAATGCACGTACAAGAACATCTATGTTTTTATTGCTCCCTCCGAAGCCTGTTTGTCTCTACAGCACTTTAGAAGCAGGCTGAATGCCCGCTGTACTGAACCGCTCATCCCAGACCTCCACCCAACAGCTCTTCAGGCAGCATAAATTATCAGCTCCTTCCCTGAGCTCATTTGCCAGCGCCCCGTGGGCAGTGACTCTTAGATCTGAAATGTCACCAGTACAAAAGCATGAATCCATTTTAGGTCACTCTTCAACTGTCTTCCCAAGTCCCACTCTGATGCATTCTGTGCAGTGGAAGATAAATACTTGGATTGGCTGTGAAACAAATCCTGGGATATTTATCAATTACCAATTCTCCCCTCTGAATGAGAATTGATTACATTTGATCAGACAGCACTTGACTTCAGAGGGAGTGCTAGCTTACAGTGCTAACGCCACAAGAGCTGTATTATGGCCAATTTTACAATTGCAACGCAAAGTCCAATTAATGGGATGCTTTATAATCTAGAATCTGTAGCTTTTTTCTCCTGATAGTAAATCAATTGTTGTTTTGCTCAAATCACAGCTAGAATAATGAATTTCTGGGGCTTCACACATAACCAAAGTGAGGTACCAATGAACTCAACGCTATTTGTCTAGTGTGCACTGGCGTCCTACAGCTTTGCTGTATCAGTAGCTCCCAGTGAGAGCAAGGCTCTAACTACTTAACACCATTGCATCCAGCTGCCTCCTTTTCACGTGCGTGGAGCTATGCAGCATTCAGGGCACTCATAGCACAAAATTCCTCTGAGAAGGAAAACGGCCCCACTCCTCCTGCCTCCAAGAGGGAAGGCATCAGCGGGGCCAAATCTTGCACCACTCACTACCTGGTGGGTAACAGCACCAACATTTGCTATACTGAGTCCAGAATGCTCGTGGGTTTGGATGTGAGGAGGCAATCCCAGCACCATGGGAGAGCAGGGGCATCTGGAGGATCATCTTCCCCCACTCAGCAACACCCAGGCTATGCTTGGTTTTATCCCAGATACATTTTCTCTAGGTAAGCAGAAGACCCCCTGTTAACTACACACAGACGCGGTATGGCCTGTCCAGTTACTAAATCATCTTCTTCCTACTGGATAGTCTTTTAATTTCCCTTAAGGTTAAGCACAAGAAGGATTTTCTAGTCTTATATTTACACTATGCATTCCAGTGACAGAGGGAGATCAGCTGAAGCCTGCACATTAGCCACAAACAGGGCAGCACAAGCTACTGGCTCTGTGTCAGAAAAAGCCCAACTTCTCTGTTTCAGAGCAAACACAGGAACCCCTTAACTGAAGGGAGGCTGCAAAATAAATAGATAAATAAATAAAAAAGCAGACCGACTGCTGCCATTTCCCAATTCATTCCTAAACAGGCCCGTGGCCCTGTGACATGACACAGCCAGCCCCAACGAGGGGCCAGACCTCAGGGCACGCTGCCACGGCTGTGCTGGGAGCAGAGAGAGCCTTCCCTCTTTCCGTGGCGCTGCCCAAAACGCTGCACATGGAGATCGAAGGATGCTTCTGGCTGCCGGGGAGCAGAGGGTAGCGGCTTATGCTCGCTGGCAGCCTCAGCCAACTTTTTATGGCCTAGAAAAAGGCAAGGCTGTGGGGATTCCCAGAGGGGAAGCGTACATGTGAGGTGTAATACTGATGTCTAACAGCTGCCAGCTAAAAGGATGACGGGTGGAAGCTGCGTTTTCTGTTGCTCGGCTGAAGCACAATTACACTGCTGCGAGCATGATTTAACCCACCGATGGCTTACAGAGCCCCGAGCAGGCGTGTTTGCAGTCTGGGATTTCAGCTGCCCAAGATGACATACTCATAGAAATAGTTATCTGTGGGACAGCCCCTGTGCAGAAAAAGGTTTGAACATCTACAATTATTTCTCCAGATGCAGCTTGTTAGCTCAGCTGTAGCCAGTTCCTCGGAGCTGGCTCCCATGGGGCACTTTCCTTTCAACCTCACCCAGGTACACAAAAAACATGACTTGCTGAAACAGCAGGGCCAAAACCCCCTGTTACACCGTGCAGGAGTTTCTCAGGTACGTCAGAGCTACATGAACTACATCAAAGCAGTGGTGTTGCTGTGCCAACCTCTGTACAGCAGAGAGGCTTTGCTGAGGATGGTGTGGTGCTGGGTGCCCTGGCACACAGGGGCAGTTCAGCCCCATTCTGACAGCTACTGATGGTGATGATTTCATCACAGGAGCAGGAAAAAGCCAAAAAGTCTCCTGTCCTGCTGCAGCATTCAACTACCAAAGCAATGACTTAACAGTTATTCATCAGCCAAAGACTGC